AAAATTGAGTTTCTCAAAAAAATAAAAAATAAAAATAAAAAAAAAATCTGAATATTTCATAATGAGTAAATGCTACACTGTAGGCATGGTCATTACTGACACCTTCCACAATGAGATTAAGCCTCAAAAGGGTCGCTGCTAAAGAAGCTGGTTATTCACAGATATTATTGGAAAGTTGAGTGGAAGGAAAAAGTGTGGTTGTAACAGCAATAACCCCAGTCTTGAGAAGATTGGGATGTAATTCTCATCTCATTCATGAGTTTGGAAAGGAGAAAACAGGTGAGGTTGTTGTTAAGTGAAGTGGTTCCTATTCTTCTTTTTAGATTAAAGTACATTTTATATCTTAATATTTTTTTAAAAAGGACTTAATCCTTCCATTTGCTAACCACGTAGCAAAACAGAGTGCTGCTAATTTACTAAATATACTGTCCAGCGCAGGGACAATACTTTAAGTGGGCCAACATTTCTAAATTAAAAATGAATGTCCTGTGTAAAAAAAATAATAATACAATTTCCAGAGAAACTGAATTTTAGCTTTTTATTAGCCGTGAGCCGTAATCATCAAAACTGACTTAAATAATCATTTGAAGTACATCACAATCATGTCTGCAGCGAATCCATAGAGGTTTCACTAAAAATAACTTTTAAATGATATTCTAATCATATTTGAATTTATTCAGACGATTCTTCAGCTGCATCAGCTGTGTGATGAAGAATCCAGGTGGAAATATTCAACATTTTTGTTCATGTTTCAGCATTTCTGAACCCCCAAAAAAAAGAGAGAAAAGGGGAAAGGGAAAAGGATGTGGACCGTCTTCCTTAGTGTGGCTGCATCCCTCTATGCACTGCGGTGTCGGCCGCGGCCCCCCGCAGTGTCATAGGTCAGCGGGATGCCGAGCTGTGAGGTTAGCCCGCCGCTCTGTGAATCGTGCCGCTCACAACACTTGCTTTACAGTGAGCGCTTTTGAGCCATCCAAAAGCTCAGCAAGGCCGTGCAGCGAAAGCCAAGAGGGGTTTGGTTTACCTGGGTTTCTCTTTGGTTTGTGGATAAAGTGATCACCTGGATTGGGGGCAGGGGCCACGTCCTGCCCCTGCCTGGCTAGCATGGGGTCATACTCCTTCCCGTCGTAGTTGGCGTCGAAGAACTTCTTGAACCATTGGACGAATTCAAAGTTGTCCTGGAATTTTCCTTTGACAAGCTTTTCTACTGGAATTATCTGGAGAGGGGAAACAAAAAGATCTCTGTGAGTCTCAAGGTGTGAGACTCCGAGTTTTGATGTCCAGAGGAGTATGAGGGCCAAGCTGAGAAAATAAAACAAATAAGATTACAAGAATAAAGTCACGATATTATGAGAATAGAGTTGAAATAGCATGAGAATAAAATCAGAACAATATCAAAATAAAGTCGTAGTATTAACACTTTATTTTGGTAATGTTAAGACTTTAATCTCGAAATATTATGACTTTATTCTCGTATTTAGTGTATTATAAGCCTGGCGGGCCACCAGGCTTTCCTTGCGCCCCCACCAGGCTTAGCATTGTTAATTTATTTGTTTTTTTTTTTTTTTTTAATGATTGGCTTTTTTTTTTTTACTTTATAGTTGGTGTTTAGGTCTTAATCGTCCAGTCTTCCAAAAATGCCTAACTATCAAATGATATTTTCAAATTTTCTGTCAACTTTAAACATTTTTAAACTGAAAAACATGGCGGCCAGCTGGATGCCGTAGCGCCCTGAGCACCAGGCTTAGCAAGTTTTCTGTGGGAAACCCTGCGTATTAGTTTGACTTTTCCTCATAACATCATTAGTTTATTCCGGTAATATTATGACTGTATTCTAATACAGATTTATTCTCGTAAAATTGTTACTTTATTCTTATCGTTTTGCGACTTTAATCTTGTAATCTTATTTTTTATTTATTAGTATGGCCCTCGTACTCTGTCGTATCGTGGCATTAGACTTGCGATGTAAAACTAGGCGATGAAGGCTGCTTACTTTGTCGATGCTCATCCTTTTAAAAGCTGCTTGAAGAACTTTGAAGTTGTGTATAAATTCATGCTCCAGTTTGGCTTGAAATTTGACCTTCTTTAGAAGAATGCAACCCGGAAATAACATGTCCATGAACTGGCAATAAGCGGCTCCTAGAGAACACAGACAGACAGATTTGTTAGATCAATGAAGACGCTGGAGAATCTTCTTTTTTTTTTCGCTCGAGCTTACCTGAACAGAGCTGCTCGATCTTGGTGTACGTGAGATGCAGGGAGTCGTTGACCCATGCGAGCATGTCATGACGGCTGAGGTTGTCAATGGACACGGATGTGGCGTACACATTCACTGCCATCCCCTTCCTGAGGAAAACAGCGACACTCTTTCAGTCACCGCTCTTTGATAAATTAAGTGAAATGTTCCTCTAGCAGTAGCTGTATGCAAAAAAAGCACACCACACTTTTCAGATCTGAATTTGAGGCAAAACCAAAATGAAAAAAAAAAAAAGATTCAATCTAGAAGGATCTAGAAGAACCCAGCGTGATCAAATGTGGGATACACATTTGATCTCTGATTGTAAACCAGCTGTAATCTACAGATGTGTTGTAATCCTCTTTAGATTGAAGTCGGATGGCAGCTTTACACATCTGGCAGCTCCAGACTGAATGAACCAGTGATGCCTCCCTGCACCGACATTCACCTTTCCGTATCAGCACGTCCTATCGGTTTTATTTAAACACCTGAGTCATGTTTAAAGCTGGAGGACTGTGAATGCCCTCTCAGCAGAGCCAGCGTTTTCCAATCTGAGGCTCGACTGCCTCCCTCACAATCACTTGACGCGGTTAAAATAAAATAGAGCAATAAATAAATAAATATTTATGAGACCCAAACACGGAGGCTCAGACTTACACGGTCGTTGGTTCAGGAGTGGCTGCTTTGAATAAGAATAAGCGGCGCACCAAAGCAAAGTCAGTCTATTCTCTATGGGGGAAAATGTGCGGGGCCTTGAGGGGGGAGAAAAAAAAGCTGCAGCAAAGCCCTGAGTGAGAACCGCTGAAGTCTACGGATAAAAACTGGGGTGGTGGGGTCTGACATGTCGAGTCGGAGCCGAGAACAATAAATGCTCCCGTTAGCTGACGCTGGAAGCCCTTTGGGCTGAAAAAGCCGCAACGTCGGAGCTGCTCTCCTAGCGGCCCCCTCTACAGGCCTCCCCGAATACCTCAGGATTGTCAGCGCGGGGGAAACATCCTCTGTGTGTGGGAGGAAAAGGCAGAACACGTCTCCCCCACGCAACACAGGGAGCTGAGGGGAAGGAGAGCGGGTCTCTGAGGTGTAAAAGTGCCGATACTCACTGTGTTTCGTGTTGTTACCCGGCTGGCAGCAGTAGACCTTATGGAAAAGCGCGGTGCAGTGCTTGGTAACGGGCCGCCCTGTCTGAGCCTGCAACAATCCGGCTTCTACTGCGCAGGCGCCCGACTCCATGCTGTTAAAAGGCTTATTATAAATAGGACTTTGGCCCGTTCCTGCTAAGAGACACATGATGTGTGGGGTTGGATTTTAAGCTCGTTAGTGACACGATGCAAGAGGTTCGCAAGAGGTCAGGACACACAACAAGAAGCTTATGTCCAACTTGTCTCTACTGCTGTGGGGGGGAGCGCACCCTCTTTTAATTACAGGGTTCTATCAGCACATAACACAAATAATCTGGTCTTCATGTTGTTCTGAAAATTTAGCCTAATGTTCATTAAACAAAATCACAAATTGGAGAAGCTGTTGGCTGAAAAAGCAGCATCCCTGCTTCTAACTACAGCACAATAAACAATCAGTAATAAAATCTGTAAAAGCAGAGGGAGTCAGCAGTCAGCTGTGCTGGAGCGTACAGGTGTGTGTTAACAATGCCCAGAAGGAAAGAGTTCAGCAGGTCCTTCAGGGAAGGAACTGTCTTTGCCAGCGGTGGATCGTGCACTAAAGAGTCGTTGGGTGAACTGATTCCTTTCGTCTCCACAGTAGATGCTACGATAGTTAGCTGGCCAGGTCCTGCTGCAGCAAAACGCCAGGATAATTCCAACTGCTTCACAGTTTGTATGAAGTTTTAGTTGTTTTCTGGAATGCAATATTTAGTTTTTCTTTTTTACATTCGTCTGTTCAAGAGAAACGATTAAGGGATCCTTGGTGTTTTTCTTTAACTGGTATCTGATGTTAGAAATCCTCATGTCAAAAATAAATATCTTACTATTTTCATTGAGGTCAGAGTTACTTTTGCCACCACATTTCTTAATACTCTTCATTTATTAAGTTAGCCTCAAGCTCTTCCATCTAACTGTGGCTTAAAGTTTAGCTTTAGGACGAAAACCTGTCTTCAATGATATCATAGAATAAGACAATGATCTTAAACAAAACAGAAAAGAAAAGAAACAAGCTGCTTACAATAATGTTGTGCAGATAAATAATGATATTAGTGGTGTCTGCTGTTTGTTTTGTGCATTTAAGATCCAATTAAAATCATTTTATAACCTAGTAAGAGCAAGTATGTACAAAAGATGCATTCTTGATAATAACCTGTCTCTGATTCACGTCACGGGCATTTCATCACTTTTATTTCCAACATATTTCAAAAGTATGTTTTGTTTTGTAGGCGTTTGAGGTGAAACGCAACGGTGGGAAGCAAAAATACACAAAAGCCCAGCATGTGATCCAGCCCTTATCAATGCTTCGATGCAGGCCATGGTTTCACTGTGGTTTATTTGCACTTAAATCATGTGATAAAGGGCTGCAAGACAAAAACAGGAGAAAGAGGAATTCAATGTGACAACACATTGTTCAGCACCAGTGTACAGTATGTTTGGGAGGGGAAAGACACTGCGAGAGCCACTGGAGCATCACAAGACTACAGAAACGAAAAGAAAGAGCAACAAGCTGTGCATATTCCGGCTTCCACTCACAAACAGAATAAAACCAGGTACTAAGAGACTTGTTATAAGTGTGAAATTTACAAACCAGCAGCAGAAAACTTTTAAAAAAGACAACAAAAGCACTAGTGTGTTTCTGCTCTAACTAAACAATCACACATACTGTTAACATCTGAAGGCATGTAGACGCCTGGCACTAACTTCCCGACGCCAACACACTGTGAAAACACTTCCACATGCTTCACAGTGGCGACGTCAGCTAGCCGGGAAGTGTTGGTGGGAGCGTTTAAGCTCCGCCCCCAAAAGAACCAGGACAGAAATGACGGCGACTGACACGTCATGATCTACGTTCTTTTTGTTTGAGGGGGGTTAGGTGTTAAAAAGGCCATCTGGGTGAGACTTTTTGCTCAGTGTGGTTATAAAGAAAAGCAAAATGAATAGTTGTGCTTGACATGATAGTAGCGATCATAACACACATACATAGAAAAAACAAAAAAAAAGTCACGGCGGAGGTTCGTTCACATTTAGTGGGGTGGGAAAAAGAAACCCATCCTGCTGTAAACATCAACTGAGACGCTAATCTGAACTCCTTCGTCTTTTTGATCCCTAGAACGCAAAACAATCCAAACATAAAAATATATACACATTAAAAAAAAGAAAGTGTAGGTAATTTTTCCTTTTTCCTTCCATCAGCTGATCAAAACCGACGAGTTGTTGTAATACATATACAATAGTTACAATTCATTCACCACGGCCCGCAGTAAAAATCATCTTATGACATTAAAGGATGTAAAAAGGCATCTAAACAGTACATGACACAAGTGCAAAAAGTTGTATCTTACAGTGAGGTAACACAATTGTTTCATAAAAACAATGTTTTCTAAACTATACGGTACAGTGCTTTCCCCTAACATGATCCAAAAAAAAAAAAAAAAAAAAAAAAACTAAAAGAACTCAACAACAAATCGTTTTTTTTTTTATGCTGCTTTCATATTTGGTTACCTTTTGACTGAATTTTGGTCACTGTTACAACGTGACAAATGTTTAATATTCAGCAAATCGACATGGATACGGTTTTATGGTCTTAAATAACAGCAAAATTCAAGATAAAAAAACCAAACAAACCAAAATGTGACTCGATCGCTTCATACAGAATCGACTTGTTTTAAAAGAAAGATGAGTCGCCTTGCTCCGCCGCACATTTTCCCCCGCGTTGGGCTTCGTCTACCAGATCCCGCTGGATCTCCCTCCAGGAGGGGCCAGGATCCGAGCCGAGGATCTCTTTGGAATGTTGTCGTCAATCTGAGCACCTGCAGCCGCGGAGGAAAGGGCAATCGTGAGTTCAGCAGCAAAAAAACAAAACAAAACAAGTCAGTGTTTGTTTTCTCTCAGGTTTCTAAAGCGTCGACTGTAAGTGGATTTAAGAAATGAAGGTTGAAACTGCTCCTGGTTTAAGATTTAAAAACACGTTTCTGTGAAACAACTGAAAATGTAAATCTGAGGCGTCAGATTACTGATGCCTAATCTTCTGTGAAGCAATATGCAGATGATAATCAGCTATACTTATCAGCCTGACGAATCAACTGGGTAGCGTTAAATCAAGTCCTGAAGACAGAAAAACCTGGACGAAATTTATTTTCGATTCAAACTTCTCAATTCAGAGATTGTCCATGGATTTAAAGACACAACAAACTCTACATAGACTTCTATTTACAGCAAGTGAGACCAACATTTAACCAATGGCTTTCAATCTGATGAAAACATTTAGAAAATCTTTTGCTTTCACATCTTGCACACTACTCCTTGTTGATCGATCAGATAAAATCAAAATAAACCACAATGAAGCTTGTGGATGTCGAGTGGAAGAGTTTAACCAGTTCTAGCTCCATGTGTAATCCATCTGAGACCTACCGCTTTTGTGAATGTGTGTCTGTGTCTCCCCTTTTTCTCAACACACTAAACAAAGTTATAAATAAATCCCTTGTAGCTGTAGGATTTTTAAGTTCAAAAATAGTGCAGCCATCTCCAGGGGCAACCAGAGCATTTCTAACCCAACAGTCTCTACAGCGCCCTCATCAGGTCATTTTTAAATGAAGTACTGACGTCCATTTATGGCTTAAAATAAATCAAACTAGTTTCGCCACGGAGCTAAGGCTTGTTCGGTGCCGAGTCTCACCAGACAGGCTGAAGCTGGACTCGTGGAGGTCCCTCACGCCGCCATGACGGGTGCAGGGGCGCGTTGGGGTGTCCAGGTCCGGAGCGCCCATGTCCCTTTTTCCCGAATTCACCACGGCAACAACATCACCGTTGTAGGGCTCCCGCTCAACAGCTTTCACCGCCTGGCTCTGGCGGAACGAGAGGGTCGGCAAACACAGACAAATCAAGCCAGGAAAACCTGCCAGTCACCATGGCGACTAGAGAAATATCCATGTTGTAAGAGTTTTACCTTTTCTCTCTGCACCATCTTCTTGTAGAGGTAGTCTGGGAAAGTCCTCAAAGGGCAGAACTTCCCAGAACCCTCTGCGCACGTGAACATGCCGTTTTCATAGACCAGACGCCCGCGGCTGATGGTAACCAGGGGCACGCCGCGACAACGCAGACCTTCGTACAGGTTTACGTCGCCTCCCTGGAACTGGTTGTCCACTGAGATGGTCCTGCAGGCGGGCATCAGAACAGAGATGACCCAGTTCAGTCAGACAAAGGCTCGATTGGGCTGCAGAGATAAAAGCTGCAGCGAGACGAGCTGGTCGATGAGTGTGCGGATCGGGTTTCATACTTGGATCCCTCGGGGTCCCAGACCACCACATCAGCATCTGCTCCGGGGATGATCCGGCCTTTCCGCGGGTACAGGTTGTAAATCTTGGCCGCGTTAGAGCTTGTGACGGCGACGAAACGATTCTCGTCCATTTTGCCTCCAACCTGCCCCGGTGAAACGAAAATAAAGTTTGTGAAAATTTAAAAGGTTGAAATGGAAGGAACTCCGGAAACAATCGTTATCTGACACACTGTGAAAAGCATTCGCTTCCAACCAGTTTTATTCTGTTTTTCGCTTTTCAGACACATATAAATGTGCAGATTATTAAATAGATTTTAATCTCTAAATACTAACAGCAGCTCACAAATGACGATTTTATCTGCTACAGGATAGACATTTCTTAATTAGAAGAAATCTTTACAGGGCAAATGCTGGAAAAGCAGTTTTGGTTTTTATTATCTGTTTTTATTCCCCCAGTGAAATTAGATTTTCTATTTGTGGAAGTTCTCCGGCTGCCAAAGCAGGAACAAAAGAGCCACACATACCACCCCCCGCTCCCAGATGACGCTCATACGGTCCTGAACGCCTGGAAGGCCGTGAGGGATCTTTGTGAAATCATCCTTGCCCATGGCCCTCTGCTTGACTGTGAACGGACGGTGATCGGACGCCAGGACGTTCAGAGTGTCGCTGCGGCGGGGGCGAGGAAGGAAGGCAACGTCAGTTTAGTCGCTGAAACAAACTCCATCTGCGAATGTAAGTGAGAGACCGTGCGGAGTTTCCTCACTTTCCCAGCAGACTCATCAGGAAGTTGGGAGTACTGGGGTCCAGGCGGAGAGGAGGCACGGTGACGTGGGCGGCCGCGTGAGACCAGTCCAGGTGGTAGTACTGCATGCCGTTCAGGACGGCGTGGGCCGTGGTCGTCTCTCCGTGGACAACCTTACCTGAAAAGAAAAACAAGGAAATGCTCACGGTCTAAGAGTGGGATACCTGCTGCAGATGCACAACTTAAAAGTGAGTGAGCTTCAACCTTGCATCTTGGCTGCAGCCACCACGTCGCCTGCAGACATGCTGGACACATTGACCAGATAGATCGGGCAGTGGGCCTGAAGAAGAACGAGCACAAATAGATTTTTACAGCAATCTCAGCACCTCTGTCGGGCCGTGGAGACCGTTTTACCTTTGTGATTAATGCCAAAGTTTAACTCACCCTGTTGGCGATTGTGATTGCCCTGTGCGTTGCTTCTGCTTCCAGCTGCAAACCACACAGAGTCAGAAATTATCCTGTTCCACCGCAATAATTTACAGCGTCTTGCTAAAAGCATCTATGACTTTTCGTTTATTATGCAGCCACCACCATTTTTCACTATGACTGTGGTCTGTTTTGGTGCATTATCACAATTATGCACCACTTTGAGGTCAATTTAGAGAGTTGAGAACCATTACTGTCCAGAACCTCAAATGGCTCTTTGAAAAAAAAAAAAGATAACATAATTTTTTATATATAAACACAGACTCCAGAATTTGTTTTCATGCTTAGATAAAATAGCAATCGTTATTATTTCAATGTATTTTGGTTTCAGAAAAAAGAAAAACATGAATGAATTTTCTTTAATTCTGTATTTTCGGAAAAGCCAATGAGAAAACAACAAAAACCTGAAAAGAACATACAATAAACCCCAAAGTTATCTATACTCCTTGCAGGTTCAGATATACAGTAAAAGAGATTTTAACTCATTGGACTTCCAGATAAAATAATGGCTAATTTAATTGATTAAAATCTTTAATATTGCATAAAAATGCATTACTAGCCACACGCTAGTGGAGGGTTTGAAGTGTAAAATTTGCCTTCGGCACCACAGGTTGCAGAAATCATGTTCTGGAAGAAAAAGTCTCATATAGGCAACATATTTACTGAGATTTTATTGACTCTGACCAGACTAGAGGAGTAAAAAGTTATTTTATCTAAGGTCTAAAGACAGTGGCTGGTTAATTTTGAGTCTCCAACCTCTTCAGGTCGACTGACTTCAATCCCCTCCGGGCCACTGATCCCGAGGTCTAACGCTTCCTTGGCACCCTGAGGATACAAGGCAGCGCATACATGTTTATTTATTGTTATTATAAACTGTTAGTTGAAATGATCAATGTTTAGTTCTGCACATGGATTCTTCCTAACCTCGGCGACCAGCTCCCCGTTCTCAGCGTGGACCCTTGCGATGGCCCCGATGTCCTTACAGTGCTGCAGGGCCTGGAAGAGTTCGCTGTCCCTTAGCATGAACGTCTCCTTGTAGGCCATGAACATCTGGAAGGAGTTCACTCCTTTCTCTCTCACAAGTTTCTCCATCTCATCTCGGACCTGCATACAAGGAAATGGTCCAGGTGTTGATGAATGGGCACGGGGGCCAACAATACTTGCTTCTGTGCTGAATGTGCAAAATTTGCACATTTGGAGACTGAAAGTTTTATCCATTGTTCTTTGCAAAATAAGTGGACCAGAATCTGATTGGATGGCTGTAGGTGCAGTGTTTGTTTTCTGCCACATGCAACTTTTGGGACAACTTGACATTGTTTAACATGGAGGTTTAACAATAAATGGACAAAATGTGAAAAGAAAATGTGAAAAAATGTAACAGAGTACTAATTCTTTACTTTTAAAAGGTACTGTAAAACAGCTTGCTTTAGCTATTTGACCAATTTGTACAATACTGAGTAGATATAATGATGTTGAAGAAGGTTGAAAACATATTTTTAAGAGAGGGAAATGCATAGTTTCATACCTTGGGTCCCCACCATGTAACTCCAACATGAAGAGAGTAATCACAGCAAGCTTTTGGGTCAGCCATGCTGCGGCACTTCTCGTACGCTTCCAGCAAAGACTCATTCTTCTCTGGCAGAACATGTCCGATCACCATCGTTGTACCACCAGCTAAAGCAGCCTGGAGGAAATCCCAAAAACAGCCTTTTATATGTCTGGGTGGCTGGATAGCCAGCTAGCTACCTAGCTATTAAGCTGGCTAACCATATAGATGGACAGCTAGTTAGACAGTCAGCTAGCTATCTAGCTATTAAGCTAGCTAACCATATAGATAGATAGCTAGTTAGACAGTCAGCTTGCTATCTAGCTATTAAGCTAGCTAACCATATAGATAGATAGCTAGTTAGACAGTCAGCTTGCTATCTAGTTATTAAGCTAGCTAACCATATAGATAGATAGCTAGTTAGTCAGCTAGCTATCTAGCTATTAAGCTAGCTAACCATAGCTAGCAAGTTAGCTTGCTAAATAGAGCTGACTAGCCAGCTAGCTATTAAGCTAGCGGGCTATTATCGATAGATAGATAGATAGATAGATAGATAGATAGATAGATAGATAGATAGATAGATAGATAGATAGATAGATAGATAGATAGATAGATAATCAAACTAAATGGTACAGGAGACACATATACTTGGCATGAAAAATGAGAAAAACTATTAAATGTGTAGGTAAATGCTTTAAAAGCAAAGTATATATCTTTTGAATGGAAACTAGTTTTTCTTGATGTACTTTTTTTTAACATGTTTTCAAGACATAAATTAACTTAAACATAGACAGAAAGCAGAATGTAAAATTACCAGTATAAAATTACCTTTAACGTTCATACAATAAAGGTTAATGTAGAAACATTAACCTTTATTATTTATTTATTTGTTTATTTCATTAATCTACAGTTCAAAATGAACATGTCACATGCTGACATGAGCCTGTTTTGAATAAAATGTTATGTAACATTACAGAAAAGATGCACTTGTTAACCCAGTAAATATTTACAGAACCACAATCTAATAATCAACACAGCCTCATCCCCAACCATGAACTTTAAGACCTTTAACAATGATCCTTACATGTGAAGGATACATCTATCAGTAGTTAACGTGCCAGGCTGACGGCTCCTCATGGTGCAATCATGAGCTATTTAAACCCATTACTATGTTATTACTTTACGACTTCAGTACTTAATAATTTTCCAGGCCCTAGAAGCAGATTTACTACAGTAAAACTGGATAACCACAGACGACAGTGTGTTTTTGTGTACGAGTGCCTGCCTCAGTGAGCATCTGACCCCAGAGGGACTGTGGAGGAGGTCGGCAGAGGGAGAGGGGTGTGTGTCTGAGGACCATTGTTCTTCAGCACAATGGCGTGAGTGAAAAGATTTGCGGCAGTCTTTGCAGCACCCCCTCGATATCCATGGAGACGGCTAGCGAGCTACATTTGTCCCCAGGCTATTTTTATTTTTTTTCTGGTGGCATCAGGGAGGAGACGAGAGAGGGAATGATGAGCAGGGAGAAGAGGGAGCAGTTGTGTCTGTGGGTTTGTTCGACATTCAGCGTCCGTCACCTTTCAGCTCATGTCGCCGTAAAACGCTATAAAGTGACGAGTCATCATGGACGCCGAGATGAGAACGAGACATCTGATTTATTCAGGATAACTCCTGTAATTACATATCAGCCCTGCTCTCAGAATATGGCGATGTAAACACAGAAAGCTCTGCAAATTGGGAATCCTTTACAAAGAATAAATTTTAAAAAACTTAATTTCCTACAACCTGTTGAAATATGTCTGATAATCATTCAGGCTGCTAGCACCTTAGCGACTTTATCCCTGTATTTAGTGATTATTCAGGAACATCTATTAGCTCTATTTTTAAACTAAAACTTTAAGAAACAAAGAAAGATAAATTTCCTGATTTATCAAGAGGATTTTTCAGGCTTGAGACTGTAAAGAACCCTTTCTATTTTTTTTTTACTCCTCTTCAAGAAACAAATACGTGTGTATTGCCAATTATGCAAATTAGACAATGACACTTTAGCATCTTCTAACCGATTGCTACATCCTGACTGGAATTGGCAACACACCTGGTAAGCCATGCCAACATTGCTTACCACATAACAAAAGGCTGAAGACAACTTAAAAATGTGAACTCTAATCATTTTGTCTTTGTTTTCAAGCAGCATAATGTTCAATTTTTTAAACGGAAATCTGAAGTGGCTAAGTTATGTCAGTGGTCCCCAACCTTTTTATTACCACGGACCGGGGGTTGGGGACCACTGAGTTATGTATCAGCAAGTCAAACCACTGCCAAATTCAAGCTTTCATTCAAGCTTCTTACATAATTTTGTTAAATTAACAAAAATTTTGCCCTCAAACTGACTACATTAGATATCAATGATAATGATCTCTGAAGTTATTGAATCTGTTCTCAAAAATCAATACCACAGCTTTAGTTAAAGCTTTGTGCTGAGAGTAACTGCGTGCATTTTGCAATAGAAAACTAAATATAAGTGTAAAATCAACAAGATTTGTCCAAGATTGTGTTTCAGTTTCAACAGAGTCTGAAAAGTTCTATAAAAGTTACGGGGATCAAAAGCACGATTCATCACTGACATCTCGGCTCAAAGTAGCAACTGAAAACATTTGCATCTGGTGGACAAAATGACACCAAAATCTAGATTTTAAAGCTTCACACCCCGACACATAAATCAAAATCTACATCTTGCACTGCCACATAAAGTTTCCTCCGCTCCTCTTTCCTGCAGGGCGTTACCTTGGTGCCGCTGTAGTAGTCGTCGGCAGTGACGGCGTTCATGAAGGTCTCCTCCAGGTGGACGCTGGTGTCGATGCCCCCGGGAAGCACCAGCTTCCCCGAGGCGTCGATCACTTTGGCTCCTCCGGGGATCATCAGCTCCTTCCCCACCTGCTGGATGATGCCGTTCTCGATGTAGACGTCGGCCTCCTGCGTGCAGTCGTCGTTCACCACCTTGCCTCCCTTCACCAGGATCCGCACCATTGCTGAGCTGGAAGACATGGCTATCGCTCTGCGTCGCAAAGAGAGAAACGCACACGTGACGTTCTTGCGAAAAGTGTGGCAATCGTGGTCCACATACACAAAAAGCTACAGATAATAAGGTACCTCATTCTGCGACAGTTTGAGGAGTTTAACGAGGGGAGAAGAAGCTCTGGGTAATGCTACTCTGTGAAGGGTCTGTCACACTGTGACTGACATCAGCCACGGCGCTGAGGAGGCTGTGTCAGTCACCGCCTGAAACCTGACGTACCATCGCAATGACGCAGCGGGAACAGAAAGAAGCTGAGTCCGGTTGTAGGTCACAATGAGGCGAACAAGGGTCAATAAGGCCATTATTGTAAAAAAAAAAAAAAAGGACGGCCAGTCAGACAGCAACATACAATGACCTGCATCACACTGGGATAAATCCGACAAATATATAAAAAGACAGAAATGCGACCAAAATCTCAACATGCGTTATTTTAATTTCAGTGATGATACCGAACAAAGAACTGGCTACTTGGTATTTATTTATTTATTTATTTATTTAGTTAGTTAGTTAGTTAGTTAGTTAGTTAGTTAGTTAGTTAGTTAGTTAGATATGTAGGTAGGTATTGTTTTTATAGAACATTAGGTTATGTTCTATAAAAACATAACTTAATGCACGAGGACAAAAATAACTGAACACCTGAGTTTAGTTGAGTTCTAAATAAAGGGCTAAAGTAAAATTCAATGTCACAATTTAGTAGTTAATGTACTAGATTCTTACCATTATGGCACACCAATTGTACAATTATGTTTGATTAAATTTTAAAAGATGACTAAAATTTACTACCAGCTAAAAGTCATTTTTATAGTGCACTGTTTGCCTAAGCAGCCAGGACAATTAATTATAATTGTAAAAAACGAACAAATAAATAAATAAAGCCTGATAGTGTAATATAGAAATGATGTAATATTTGTCACTTTGATGTAATTTTTTGCTTGATCTGAATACTGACCAGTTCTACTGTTTATTCAGAGTAATTTGAATATCTGAAACAACAGTGATCTTTCAGTAGGTTAAAAAAAAGATAAAACAATTTGAACTGCACAATTTTTAACTAAAAAAATATATGTATATATTTCTGTTTTGGGGAACTTAAGCAATCGCCAAGTTTGCCCCTCCCTGGTCCTGAATCTCTCCCCTCAGTATCGGCTCTGGTTGAATTTAGGTTACGGTCCGCGATTAACAATTCATGAGAAACAAAGAAGCAATCTCCTGGGTTCCTCCTGCGCCCTGCCTGGCGGCCTCCCCTCTCCTTCCCTGCGCATCATTTGTGGTTGATGATGTTGGGAGCTGTGCGTGGACGTGGAGATGGTGTGTGCCCACCATCTCCGTGTATCTGTGCGTGCTTGCGTGAAGTGCAGGATGCGTGCGTCTGAGGGTGCGGCAAGTTTACTGCAAGGCATGGCACTCCTTCACGCTTCCAGATCTGACGCCTGATAGTGGGAGAGGTTCTGGAGAATCCAGGAACAGGTCGAACTGCGCTGTTGCTCCGCTATGATCTCACTTATTATTTGTATTATTATAACACAGAGCTGATCGGTGGCGAACGACGTGGAGGTTTTTTTTTGTTTTGTTTTTTTTTAAACGGAATGTTTAAAGAATGTTAGGGAATTGTTTTATAGTAAATAAATAGGCCGATTCATGCAGGCGGCTCATTTAATGCGCTCAACTTTTATTCCTGATTCATTTTGCGCGCCCACGCATAAATAAAAATCTATTCCTCTCCCACTTTTGATCTAGAAATAATTCCTGTAAATATGCAGATTTGCCTAGTTTGGTCCAGGCGTAGTCAAAAATGATGACACATGACACAAAGAAACCGGTCTCCATCATGATGATCAGCTGCACAAGCCAAGACTCAGAAAAACCCACTGTGCTCCCTCTCAGCGCGCCCTCTTCGCAGTAAGGTAACGCTGGCGATCTAAGTGGCCAGACATTAATTAAATCCTGCGGCCCGTCTGGACGGACGGAGAAGGTGTGGTTGAGCTCCAGGGTGTGAACGGCACCGTGAAGCCGCTGGGGAGGGGGATACGGAAACAAAAGTGTCCCGGTAGCAGGGGTGGTGATTAAGATGCAGAAGCCCGCTGGCCTTAATAAAACCGCTAATATGTGGAGCACATACCTCCAGGTTGGGCCTGTTGCAGCTGCTCCAATCCGCGCTCTGGTTACTTTCTGACCGGAACAGAAGGCAACACAATCCGTGGACGGCCCTTCCCAAGCAGATGCACACACCAGATGGATACCTTCCCGGCCGGTCTGGGACCAGCACACCGCAGCAGCAGCAGCGTCAAGTCAGCGAAGCGGATTGAATGGAAACGTCTGATGTCAAAATAAATGTCAAATGAAATAAAATACTATTTTACGTCACCGTTCAAAATTATGAACTTTAAGGAAGCCATATAGATAAATTAATCAATTTATATTCATACTAGTAATTTAAAAAACCTTCCTTGAAATACTACAAACACTTTATAATGCTCTTTAGATGCCTGTTGCTGGATTTAAACAGCAGAAATTACGGTATACAAGAGTCTAAATATTAACAGGTCAAATTAGATTTATGTCGTAATTAAACACTAAAAATACTAACAAATAAACCAACATTTCTGTTATTGTACATTTGTTGACGGTATAATAGGCCTCGCTACCTGACAGCCACAAAACAAAACTCTGTCAAGGAAGAAAATACAATTATTTAATAATAAATAAAAAATTATTCATTTCTGCCTTTTATTTTGTAGCAGCATATCCTATGATCCGGTGGCGATTTGTGTGGGTTTTTTTAGCTAACCTTCCGCGCGCCGCAGCATCCACGGCGCGAGACGAGTCGACGCTCCAATCAGCGGCGCTGCGTGAAGGCTGGTCTCCTCAACAGCCAATCACAGCAGACGTAGGGCGCGTCCACTCAGGGGAGGCTGTACCATTATCGTAAGAGGAGGGAGATGAGAGGCAAGCATCACTGGTAGAACATTTTCTCTGAATGGGGTTTAAAAAGTTACTAGCTGTTGGTATTCTCTTCCTACCGAGGGTAATTGAGTTGTGAGTAAGAGGACTCTATATTATTTAATATTTATGTATATTTTCCTCGCTGACTTGTAAGTGTAAGTTGTCTTCGACAGTACTATGGTACAGTTCGTCATACTTTCAAACTGCCCAACAATGCTTTGCGGTTATATTAGGAATTTATTAATAATTTACAAAACTACAATTAGGCAAAGTTTTTACATGTAGATTCATCATTTATTTTTGTGTAATTTATATGTGTTGTTAATATAGAGACATACAGTCGTATTCAATAAATTAAAATGTTATTGACCTAATTTACTAAATGGAGCATGTTATAGATTAATTACATACAAGCCTGTTTTTAAACCTTTATGATTTTACAGCTAATTAAAACACAACATCTGGGATTAGAATATTACATCAAATGAATAAAAAAGGATTTTTAATAGAGAAATGTTTCATCAGAATGCATATCCTAATTTATTTAATGTGACTGCATATAATAAAACCCAAAAGGTTTGACCCAATTCATACAGCTTAAAAGACAACTACCCCTACTGACCACATTTGTGTAAGTTTATGAAGTAAAAGTTACAAAAAATCTAACATTTTCTGGTAATTATCAAATAGAAATAAGTTTGATAATTCTAACCAAGCTAAAACAAGAAAAGTTTGGTCTTATTTAACTTCAGAGGGAGAAAAAAAGTGTAAGTGTCTTTTTTTTTCTTTTATCACTTCAATAACCAAGACCACCGCAGCTGCCTTCACCTGTCATACGCTATCTTGCTCTTCCCAAGTCCTCTTTTCCAAATATTTATGTCATTGGGGATAATCACATCGATCCTGTGCTGCTTATCAATGATCACAACGTCCGGTTGGTTGACCATTATCATGCTGTTTGTCTGAATCCGGAAGTCCCATATATCTCAGTTCCGTCATTTTCTACCACTTTTTCCCACTTTGACTTAGGAGTCTCCAATTCATGCTCTTCCCAGATGTTTCTGTACATGAAACCAACCACTAAGTTAAGGCATTCCATCTATTGCTTTGCTGCTAGCATCCTACATCCTGGATTTTTACAGGTGGGATCTCACCTGTTGTGGTAAATCTGGGCTTCTATTGCTCTGGTGCTCCTGTCCTGTCCTTCAGTCACCAGCCACTTGTAGGACTTGGCCGTATCAGCCACTTCAGCTATCCTATCGGTGGAACCTCTCATGATGGTTTCTTCAGTTCCTTCTCATCCAGTTTCCATTGTCAGAGACATTCACAGAGCATGTCATTCCTCGGGACTATCTTCTGGATGTATTCTTGGAGCTTGGCAATTTCATCTTGGACGGTGGCTCTGATGCTCGTGAGGCCTCCGCCTCCTTCTGTGCGCTTAAGTGTGTAGCCAGTGGATACTGGATTTGAGGTGGAACCCACAATACATGGTGAGTAGCTTTCGTGTTTTAACATTAGTGGTCTAAATTTCCTCCTTTGGCCAACTTGCTACACCAGCAGGGTATCTGATTACTGGCAAGGCTTAGTTGTTGCCTGGACCTTGTTCCTGGCATTGAACAAGGTCCAATGGCACCTTGAAACGGCAATGAAAGGTAAGTTCTTAGAGTCTACTTTACTCGTTCCGGGTGCATACATACATGTAAAGTTGTATATACATTATATATAATGAGGCAGAAAGTGGTAGATGGCTGTTTTTTTTTTGTTTTTTTTTTTTTGCACAAAAACAAGACATTTATTCAAGTGTTCTCCAGCACAAGTACATACAGAGCCTTTATCTTGTCTCTGGACACTAAACATAAGTATGGGGGAGTCACGCGGAGAATGGGTGCTACATTTGCTGTATGAACTGTTCTTGAGGAGAAAAGAAAAAGCGTATATAGGCCATAAAACAGTTATGGCAGAAAGAAAGTCAAAAAGAGTGTATCACACAGTATTGACCTTCCTTTAACAGTAAAAAACAAACACAAAAATCTGGTTGGTGATACAAAATAAAGGGCAAAAAAAGGCATCAGTTCAAAACAACAGCATGATAATAGACATGAATATTACAGCATGGAATGTAGGGTTAAGAAGCAATGCGCGTAAAGCATACAGTATGCAATAGTAAAAATGATTACTATTTTTTTTCTCACACAATTTCCCACAGATAAAGCACCAACTACAGCAATCTAGCAATCTATAGTCTAAAACAATATAGGAAACCTTTCTTTACTGTTACTCCTTTTTTTTTTCAAGTACAAAGTTAAAATGCCTTTGTTAATATATTTGTATGACTGACATAACAGGTCTTTTTTCATCACTACAAAGAACTCAAAACAGTCATTGTCATTTTCATTTCTCTCCCAATTAAATATATGTTTCTGGATAAGATAAACTGTTTAGCACCATTGGAAACAACTACAATCCCTCTTTTTACATAAGCAGAAAGGAAAAAACATTAGAATACAAACTAAAATAATAATAATAATAAAACACCACCAGGTAGGGCTGTGCGCTAACACTGAGACCATTATGCTTAAAGCTGTCCATTAGGCCAATGCTAACATCACAAAGACATTGAATCTGGATTCACACAGATTGGGATGGAAAAGCTAAAGTCTAATGTTTAAAGCAAGTTCTGAGTCAGATTTTCGATTATTTTTTTTTTTACTTTTATCAAAAAAAAAAGTGATGTGGATGATATATATTAGGAAAGAATATTTGTACATCTTATGTGAAATAATAATAAAAAAAGAACAAAGATGAATTGGAAAACAGTGACTGAAAATTTCTATTTACAAAATGTAAAAAAAATTTTTTACAAAGATGAAGGGATGTTGGGTTTTTCTTTTGTTTCAGGTCAGGGAAAATATTACTCTCCCGTGAGGACAAAAATTATGGCGATAAGGTCACTTAAGAAAGTAATTACATAGAGAAATAAAATTTTAAAAAATTTCAATCTTAAATACCATATAGATTAAGTGATAACATCTGCTTTCATTAGGCTCTTTAAATTTTTTGAGAGCTGAAATCTTTGTCAAACACTACGTCAGTTTTTTGTTTTGACAAACCGCGGCGTCGAGCCTCCTGATTTAGATTTTAGTTTAAAATCAGGAGCAATGGCCTCCCTCTGGTTCCGAGGGTGGCTGTGATCCGCACTCTTAAAAATTTTCAGGGAAATACCAGAGGCCAAAATATAGACGAAAAAGAGATGACATAATATTTAAACTCTGGCAGACATTTTTCTTCTTCTACATTCGTTGAGTTTGGGCGGTAACTAGGCATGAGCCGCTTGCAGGTCCTAAGGCAGGGGTCCCCAAACTACGGCCCGCGGGCCGGATCCGTCCCGCCACGTCATTTGGTCCGGCCCCCTGAACAATGCCGGATCCGGCCCGCCTCCTCATACCAGAGAGCATTCAGTGTTTTTTTTTTTTTTTCATTTATTCTATTTTCCGGTTTATATGTGGATTTTTCTTCAACCACCAGGTGGCTTTTGAGCAAATGTGAAACTTACTTTCCCTCAATGGAATATATACTAGTCAGTCCCAGTCACCCTTTCACTCACGGTTTTTTCCATTTGCATTCTGGGTAAAAAATCTATCTAAAAGCGCGAATGTGTCGTCCCCCTCCCTCCCCCGCGTCTAAGGTTTCTTTCTCCAAAAACTAAGACCGGGCCCCGACCGGAGAAAGGAACAGCTATGTGGCCCTCGCAGGAAAAAGTTTGGGGACCCCTGTCCTAAGGTATCCCGAGGTTTTTAAAACATTACCGTTTGAAGCCCGATAAAAAAAAGTCCATCATACTATTTCCTATAGTTCAAAAATCATTTTCAAAGAGAAGCCCAGAAAAAGTGCTTGAGTAACCGAAGTTAACTTTCCTGGCTGCACAGCGCTACAAATTTAGCTTTAGCAACAAAAAAAAGAAAAAAAAAAGTTCCGGTCACAAACAGCTCGTAGTTGTTCGAAAGGTGTGGAAATTAAAGAAGCGCCGCCTATCGCTCTTTTTTTTTTTTAATATGGTGCTAATTTAAAAGTATAGTTGGCAAGCTACGAGCAGCTTGTGTGCTCTGATGGCGCAGAAAGCCTGACTAATTCCCGAGCTCGCATTAGCTTGTTACATATTAGCTTAGAAAGAAAACAACTGAATTTATCCGTTGTTTACGCTCTATTTCCGCTTAAGTCTACGTCAATGTACGTTATAGCTAACCCTATATTACACCAATAATCAATAGGTTGCATTACTTTAACAGCAGCAGGAATAATTGTTGCCTTTCTCTTCTGATAAAAGCAATTAGATCTTGTTATTGATCCTTATTCTTAACTTGTTTGTACAAATACCAGGAAGCCGTGGTATTTTCACCCAAAGTCACACCGACCCATGCCTAGTGGTGAGAGGGTTCGCTGCTGCTTTAAAATAGAGTACAATATGAACGATGGAGGAAAAGGAAAGGTCAATAAACATCAATCCACCAACTGTACACAGTCCAATAACAAGTTTCACATATCAAAATCCATACTTGTACTTCTATTGGCACAGCCCTACTGAATACAAAAAGTATTACACAAGGGTAGATCAGTTCACATCATAAAACTAAAAAAAAAAAAAAAAATTAATTCACAAGAATTATCATTTAATAATGATAAAAAATAATAATCAAGAAAACAAGAAAGTATACATATAAAAGTGCTTATAATGTTGATAAAACAGCACAAAATTGCTATAAAAGGTAGAAGAACCTTGTGAAGCCGCACCATGTTGTTGAGTTTTTGCACCTGACAGTTGTTTTTTTTTTTTTTTTTTTTTCAGTTCAGAGAGGCGGACGTTGAGGAGGATGGTCACCGGGCCTCCAGCAACAGCGCTTACTAACAGTTGTACAGTAATATCGTTAGTCGAGGTGACACTAGAAAAAAGTAGCTCACCGGAGACTTAAAAAGATTTTTTTTTGTTGTTTGTTTTATTTATTTATTTTTTTAATGACAGGAAACATCATTCCCCATGTGGCTAGCTTCACACCCTGTTTGTGCAGATGCAGGCCTTGGGCCTGAGTGCAGAAAGGCTGGGAGACCAAATGAGCACCAGTAGAAACAGTACAAAAGTTGTAAAAGAGGACAGGCTCTGTGTTGCAGTTTAAAGTCTGTTTCCCAGAACTTAGTACATCTTTTTTTTTTTTTTTTTTTCAATTAAATGTAAAAACATCCAGCAGAAGTCTTTCGAGCAACAGGTTAAAGAGCTCTGTGTTGTCTAAAGTCGTAGTGCCACATGGGCTATGATGTCTGTCATCATCTTGAAGCACCATGGTGTTGTAACCATATTACAGTAGTACCTTTATTACCTTCAGCTGTGTATAGAAACCATAAACAATGAGGTATTTGTGATCTGGTGTTTTGGATTTTCAGAGACACGGCCCTCCCCCGACACCGAAGCGAAACGAAAAAAAAAAGAAAAGAAAAGAAAATTCGCTTTTCACATCCCTGTCGAGGCTCAGTAGCTGGAAGCACGGTTGCTGCGGTTGCACGTCACGACGTGCCGCAAGTGGCGCCGATGCGTTTCACGCACCTAAAACGCCGTCCACATGCTTCTCGAGAGATTTCCGTCTCTTTAGTAAAACGCGTTCGACGCTCGAGTGTCTCAGTGTCTCAAGAGGAAAGCGTAGTCTCAAGAATTATGATGTGAATTTTGTTCTTTTTTGATGCAATCAATCAAAAAAAAAAGTTCTCAATAAAAAAACAAACATGTGAAAGGTAGAGAAAAATGCAATTAAATGTTTTGCTTTGTAAAGATAATACAATTTAAGCTTAAATTTGCATCTACAGGTTTGCTTACAAAGCTAAAAGTTTCTTTTGCGCCTCCACAATTTTGGGTTGAGAATATTTAGCTTGAAACCACTTTTTGGTTTGATGTGCAAACATTTACTGCAAGAGTGGGGGAGTATAAAAAAATATCTTTTGGTTAGGTCAGGTTTAATTATTCTCTACGTTGTAATTTTTTCAAGCTGGACTCTATTTAGAGGAAAAGCTAAGATCTCAGAATATCTGTTTAGTGTTTAAGAGTCCAGTACAGATTTGCAATATTTCAGTTTTTGCACAAGAACTAATCAAGTCAAACAATAGTAAAAAAAAATAAATAAAAGAGTTTAAGCTATGCACTGAAACAAACCCCACAAGACCAAAGATTTCAGACGAGAAGAAAAGTTTAGCTTTGTGATCCAAACTTTTTCATTCAAAACAAAAACTTTTGGATTTGAAAGCAAATGTGTTTTTTTCTTCGCAAAATAATAGTATTTCTAATTTGTATAGTTTTGGTTTAAAATGTTTTTTTTTTTTTTTCGTTTTAATTCATCGTTTTAAAAAGGAACAAAATTCCACTCATACAAGTATAGCTCGCACAAACATATAAACAATATTCGATAACAATGCTAAAAGGTAAAAATGACAACAAAAAAAACAACAACCCAAAATTAAATAGAATAAGAATTACAATTCAAATACAAGAGATAATGTGAATCTATGTCAATGTTTGCAAATTATACCAGAGTATAATCTGAGAATCAAGGCTCTTATTATTTCTAGTTCCTAAAATAGCCTGAAAGGCAACGTCTCGCTCCTCAAACACAGGCAAAGTAATCTTTAAGTGGTGCAAACAGGTGGCGGATGACGGGGACGCTCCACGCTCGGCCCAGCAGCCTCTGCCTCGCCAGTCGACTCATGTTGGAAACGTCTGTATAGTGGACTGGGAAGCCGAATACCCTGACGAGAGAAACCACAAGCAAACGGGATCAGATCTAAAACCAAAAGGCTCATCTTAACCTCGAAACCCTCAAATTATAGATTGTCTGAGAAGTCGTCGTCATAGTTTGAATCAAATTTAAATGGGGTTGAGAAATGCAAACAAAACAAAAAAAAACAAAAAAAAAACTGGTGTTCCACAGGGAACCATTTCAGATCCCATTATTTTTAGCTTACCTATTAACAGCCATTTGGTGGTGCAAAATGTTTGCTCCGTCACAAAGGATTAGCCCCAGTCCCACACAGCTCCACCAGACTAGTAAACACCTGGTGAAACTGCGCATCCGAGTGATTGTAGACAGCTTTTTTGTTGTGACGATTTGCTCCTTATGGAGTCTTGGCAAGAACAGGAGCTTCTTAAAGGGACAGAGGCCAATTTCAAAGCACCTAAAGAGTACATGGACTCTTATTTCATTAAAAAATCATTCATACCTTTCCATCTCAGGGCACCAGAGGATGTCTTCTTTTTCGTTCATATAGACGGGATAATGCTGGTCCTTTCCTTGCTTGATGGAGTTAGACCTGGTGGTGATGGTCCTGACCTTCTCAAACTGGAGAAAAACAAAACATGAGTCAAAATAACAAGGTTTTCATTATTTTAATGAGTAATTAAGCTATAATTCTTGTAATAAATAATGTTTTTCTTATTGAAGAAATATTATAAATTAGCGGTATTTCTCAAAAATTCTTGGCACAGATCACAAGATTGGAGCCGAGGATGTGGAAATTTGTGTATTCCCGAATCAAGGAAACATTTGCTGACTTTCAGAAACCATATGTAGCTTCAAAATTCTCCTGGATAGCGGAGTATTAAATGCGGCACGGGCCTAAGTTGATGGCACCTATGAAGATGTATAGAAAGCTCTAAAATATACCAGTTTTTAGTGTCTAAACATAATCTCTCAATGAAATCTTTAGAAAAATCTAAGCTTTAATTCGACTAAATTCATTAATTGAATTGTGTGTGTCTGGATTTGAAATAAGGCACGAAGCTGCTGAGTAGTGAGCCATTCCCAATGTAAGATACGGTGGAGGATCTGTGATGCTGTGGGTCCAGACATTTAATAAAAACTTGGTGGAACCTCTCAAACTAAGAACTCATAGTCAACAAATTTAACAGATACAGACTAAGAGCTGTTGTACAAGCTGTAGACATCCGACACTGAATTAATGATTTAGTAATTAGGTTAGTTAGTATTTTCTAACGTGAAAGAGTTTTTCTACCTCACTGAAATTCTTAAAATTTCAAAGACATATTCTAAGTAAGATTATTATGACAGGATAAATCCATAAATTGACCTTTTCTACACATTTACTATGTAGCCACCACAATTTACAGCATATAGGAGCAGAAATAAATAAGGAACCGTTTATATCGGTGGCATTTGTTTTTAGCTACCGTTTTTTTCTGATGGATTTCTGTGAACTGGTTGATGTTCGTACCTTTGCCGTTCTGCCGTGCTCCAAACAGTCCTGGAGGTCCAGCCTGTCAGAGCACATGGCCGACAGAGGTCTAAAGAGGAGAAACGAATGGGAGCCGTTTACAATGACATGAACTGAAGTTGAAAGCTTTCGTTTGATGGAGAATCTCCTACGACAGCCACCCGAACACTCTGGAGATGAGATATATCTACAGAGGCTTCTGCTTATCTTTGATGCTTCTTTCTGACAGTGCAGCCACTAACCTGTTCATGCCAGGGAGGTTACCCCAAAAGTAACGGGCGCGGTGGGCAGCAGACACCTCCTTGGCATCAATCATGACTGGATTACACTGAGATTAAAGACAAGGAAGATTAAACAGTACAGCTTTGTTTCCAGTAAAACACAGTGGAGTTTTTCTTTTTATTCAATTAAAATGAAAAAAAAAAAAAAAAAAAAAAAAAGAAAATCTGTGAAAAACAGAAGAGGAGCTGCATCTGTTGAGTTTCATCCTTATATGGACCAACTAATTTACTTTACTTTAATTGAACATAATTTAATTTTAAAAGCCAGCCTAGGGTAAGTAATTTTGTCTATGGCATAGTAATGTAAAGTTGAAAGGTAATCAGGTGTTTAAAATGCAGTGATAAGAAAAAAGCAACATGAATCTCCTCATTACTCCTCGACAAGAAATCGCCACAAGGGGGCAGTCACAACCCAGTAATCATTTGGTGCCTTGTTAAAATAAAGTTTACCCACATATAACTTGAGGCAGATCATTTTATATATTAAAAGTACAATCAAGAGGAGGTGTACTGTCTTGTTTACTATGTTTAACTCGCAGGCAGTCCTCGATCACTGTAGGAGCTAACCTCTAGAAAGCGAGAGATGTCCCTCTTGTCGCTCACACCCATCGCAACAACGTTTTCAAAGAGCCAGAAGAACGGTCTGTCGTCTCCTTCCTTGGGCCGAGCCTCGTGGAGCAGCCGGTAGAACTCAAAGAAGAGGCGGCCGCTGCCTCCTGTGGGGCAAAAACAATCCCCACATTGAGAAACAGTCTTGTGTTTTGTATCTGGAGCAGAAAGATTTATAAAACACTACAGGGGAACGTAAAAAGAGAAGTTGCGTGAACATACCATAAACGCCCTTCCGAGCAGGGTTGACTATTGAGAGGTCGTTGCAGGGACTTCCACCAATGACGAGGTCAAATGGACCCCACTCCTGAATCTGTCCAAAGACGTGACACAAAGTCATACAAAGAGAGAAAAATAATCACGTGCAAATGCATTGTGACAGAATCCGAAACGTTAAAGTGCTCCACCAATCCACGGCAAATACTTTTGACCGGTGATGGAGTTTAAATTCATCAAGTCCCCCCCAAAGTAAAGCCTCTTCACTTACATGTTTGCGTGTGACATTCCTCACATCCCCAACATACATGATCCGTCCCTGATGTCGGACCATGCCCACTGTGATTGAGTCTTCACACACTTCGGACGCCACATAGCGATCCACTTGGATGCCAAGTTCTTTTAACACCAGCAGTCCTGTGGAGAGCGCAATATACAACGAATCCATCAACATTTAGTTAAACCAACTAAGAGTGGGTAAGTCCCGAGCGTCGATTATTTGACAGAAAACAAGTGTTGCTGAACCTATAGACTGTGACAAAAGAGAAGATGTCCAACCTGTCGCTATGCCATCAAACAACGACAGAACACGAATGGGCCTCCTCTTCTCCACCAGGACTGGGGGGTAAAGCTTTGGTGGATCCTGAAATTTACACATTGGAAGGAAACTCAGACAGATACGCCACAGAGAGAGACTCCTCTGTTACTACTACTCACAAAATCTTGATCGTGATTATTTGCGAAGAAGAGCTGCAGATGGTCGGGCCAGTCTGAGCGGCGCTCCAGGAGACCAAACACGCCCTTCGGACTGCACATGAAGCAGTTCCACGGGTCCTCTTTGATGGCAGCGTGGGCGGCTCCTTGACCGACGAGGAGGTCTACACATTCCACACAGAAACACCTGGACACAGAGATCCAGCTGCGTTAACACAGTAAGTGTTAAATCGCTTTGGCTGAAGCAGGACTTCAAACTTTCAGTGTTCAAAGTAGGGACGCAAACAATTAATCGACTAACGATTAACTGTTTATTAAATTAAAATTAGCTTCAGTAGATTGCCTATTAACGATCGCTTGGACCTTCTTTTAGTGTTGTAGTTTGGCCGCCACCCAGCAGAGGGCGCCGCTGGTCATCCTTAAGCGGAGCCAGTTGGTACAGAAGGAGAAACAGTCCAAACAGAGGTCGGTGTGGGATGAAAAATGGACTTTATTCGGTTCTGTTTTGAAATAAAAACACTCGACAAGCTCCTTAAGTTTCACGTTAATAAGGCTCATCCAGGTGAGCGGCATGACGGAGCAAAGCAGCGTCAACTTCTTGTTTAAAAATTACCGGCGAGGACGTGGTGACAAGAAAGAGGAGAAGGAATAACAGAGAAAAAATGCGACGTGATGAAAAAGAAATATGAGGCCAATACGCAGGACTGATTTTGAGGTCGGTCGTAAACCTCAAAATCACGACAGCGAAATTTTAACCTGTCTTTTACAGACGGTTCTTCTGTATGAAGATTTTTGTTAATGGGGAATTAAATGTTTCACATATTTTATCCTTTTCATCTTTAATTTTTCCAATGAGCAACTTAAGAGTTCCCGTTTTTGTTATATGCAAATATATCTAAGTTTAATAATGTGAGAAAACCAAAATATTCTGTTTATTCAGTCAGTATTTAGGACAAAAATAATGTTTTATTATTTTTGTCCTAAATTTTTTTATTAGGCCAGTATTTAAAAAAATACTGGCCTTCATATTATGGAAAGACGATCATCCTTCTCGATGCCAGAGAAAACTGAGGTTTGGCCGCTGACCAATCAACTTTAAACGAACGAATTAATTAATAACTTGCACTCCTAGTTCAAATCATGTCTCCTGGTGGGATTAATTTACCACATAATATTTTATACCTTGTTAAATAGATTAGGCTCAGTTTGAATGATTCTCCCGGTTTTCACTTCCAGGGGTCAGAGGTCAGGCTGCTGGAGCATCAGGTTTCCATCCAAACGCCCAGCCTGGCAAGCAGCGACTCATCATCAAAATGTCACACGCCGTCGTGTGAACACAAAGAACGGCCCTGTGCGCTGATCGTGTTACTCTCAGTGGTGCTTTTTCAACGTTTGTTTTCTTGTAATTACTGCGCCAGGGTACTTCGGCTGATCCTTCTTTGAGACTTCAAACTGAAAAACCACGCATGACGTAATATTTACTATCAGCCGTTTGTGAGCCTGACCTCCGTGATGAAGCCTGACATCAGTGTTGTGACATTTGTGATGACTACAGCCAGCTCTTTGTGAAGAATAACTGTGTTTGATTTATTAGGAATAATAAACAGTTGATTCATCCAAAGATTGTGTCACAGAGCTCAAGGATATTCTCCATTAAAACTGTAGCAAGTGCAAAGTGTAGCACGTGTGTGTCTTGCAAATACAAATCTGAACAGATGTTATCTGCACATCAAAGTGCACAGAGGTGACTTCTGAAGGATTTTATCAATGGGTGTCAAATTAAAAAGGGCGTAAAGCAAATGTATTAAACATTTTTCAGAATTACAATCAAACACCACTTTGACTAAATTGAAGTTTGTGATCGCAAAGTGACAAAATGTGAACAATTTGGAGGATTTTGAGAACTTTTGCAAAGCCCTGGATGAGCGAGGGTTGCACTATGCCATTTTTAATGAAAAGCATCACTGAGCTTGATGAGTTTATTTCAGTTTCTCTGACCTGCCTACGCTGGTTTGAAGTTGCAAGTCCGGTGTAGAGATTGTAAAAAGTGAGGCATGTTAAGAGATGCTTTGGTTTATGCTTCACACCGTTAAAAGAAAATCTTGTACTGTCTTAAGCTGAAGCTTCAAGACAAACCGTTGTCCTTCATGTGAGGAAGGACTTTTGATTTTGTTTTCCTACATTCACAGCCCAAGCATCACAGCTTTGTAGTTAAATTTCCTAAAAGAAAAAAAAAAACTCTAAAACTTCTATATTTTCTACAGATTTTATCAATTAAATTTCTCTCCAGCTCAAAGTATTTCAGCTTGTGTAACCCAGTGGTGCTCGAGGTTTCCGACACATCCTTACTTCCGTACTTCTCCAGACTCAAATTTCTAGACTTCTACACGCTAATTACCTCTAAACGCCCCACACAAGAGGCCAACAAGGTTGAACGTGCGTCTTCGGTCAAGGTTGACCGAAGATGAGGCGGTCGCAATTTAAGCTTGCCGAATTAGGAAGTCAAAGCCTCACCTGCAGCAGTTGTTGTTTCCACACATGAGCACCTCACGTCCGCCGCAGCAGATAGTGCAGTACGACTGATAACCGTCGTCGTCGTATTGGTACGCGCATTCCAGGAAGCAGTTCTGCAAAGCGCACAGAAAGAGCCGAATATAAGCAGTGAGACATTTAAAAGTTTTGTTGTTTTCAAAAACGGTAAATTCGTTCGGTGGGGCAGCGTCTCACCTTGCAGCTCTGGCACATTCCTCCGGCGAACAAGGGGTGCTCCAGGCTCACGTTCAGACTTCCACACGAGATGCAGATGTCTGGAGGAAGACGAGAGGCGGTGATGGACACTTGAGTGAACATATCTAGTCAGCTGTGACGCAGGTTAGTCGGGACGTTCGTAAAGGGGGTCAGAACATAAATAACGGTGTTGCCTTCACTGTTTTATGAGAACAGTTGCCTACATTCTGATTAGATTGCTTCTTAACGACAGTGAGAAATGACCAAACGCATCTGGAGAGCATGTGTGAGCCGAACTTACCCTCCAAGCTGCGGCACTTTTGTCTCACTTCATAAACAAGTCGCTCTGTGACAGAAAAGAGAGGAAACGAATGAATGAATGTTGCTGAAAATGTTACAAAAAAAAAGTTCTCACTTTATGCTCACATCACTTATGGTAAATGGCCATGTATGATGTGAGTGCTTTATCAAGTCCAGAGGACTCCAAAGGGCCTTCAGTCAATCATTTGACTGCTTCAAAAAAAAAATAAAAATAACCCTAAGGACTCACGGCCAACTAAAATCAGAATGTATGAGGCTGATTTTATGCTAAATAAGTATTAAAATGATTGAATAGTGAGTAAAATTGAGAGAAAAATTCAAAAAGCTGATGTTTGTGTACATATTTTGAAGCATTGTGGTTCTCCACCCAGAACGAATTCTGGTTTATTAATCTCAAAGATTAATAAACTTTCAATTTTAGTGAACATTTACACTTTAAATATCCAAATAAACAACAGAAAAAACAAATAAAATGAATTATGAAGTCTTTGTAAACAAAACTGTCCTTCAAAATACAGGGATAGTTAAAGACCAAAACACCTGATTGCAGACTTTCATCATCCAGTTTCAATATCTCAGCATTCAAATAACAGTTCTACTCTTTCACGCACGACTCAAACGTAGCATTTACCTCTGCTACAAATATTAAAAACTAGAATAGAAAAATCATACTGACTCCTATCTTAAAGAAGAATCAGTTCAGATTGATGCTGTCAGATCAAAGGTCGACAAACGGGTGAACCGAAATTGTCCGTGAAACTCTGATTGGTTTATCTCTCCCCAACAACAACAAAAGCACTTCAAGCTAAAAGACTAAAAGAGAAGGCTGGAAAGAAAACCTGTACAAAGTGAACAACCATCTACAAATCAGGCAAACACAGCTGGGTCCACTCGTACACGGAAGGCAGAGCGAGCCTTCCTCTGATCACAAACTAAAAATAGATCATGTGTGACAGGAAGCACATTGTGCCCGTGTTTCATTTTAATGTGCAGCTCTTTGATAGTTTAACTAAGTCAGTATGGCTCCTGCTGCTCTCCACTGTTAAGACCCAGAATGTAGTTTCGTCCTAACTGTAGGCGACACTGTAATACGCAGCAACTTGACCCCGTTTCCTGTCTAATTCCTACAATAATTAACCTCTTGTCAACAGAGAGAGGAGTTCACAAACGGACGGGGCCCCCCTCACCTCGCGTCCTCTCGTCGATGATGTCCTTGACTTTCCCTTTCTCCACCGTGCTTTTGCGAGGCTTTTTGGCTGGGGGGGGCGTGTAGGCCGCCGCTTCGGGCTCCACCCAAATCTCGGGGTAAACCTCGGAGTTACGCTCCTCTAGCAAGTCCAGGCAAAGTGGAAATTATAGAAGTGATTTCGAGTGAGTTCGGCCGTCCCCCGCTCCCACGGGGTCAAAGGTGTCGCGCTTTCTTACCTTCAGGTGGCTCTAAGCCCTTAGGTCCAGTGGGCTGAAACCCGGTCATCGCCCACTCAATCATCTCCTTGTTTAACATGTCCACTGATTTGGAGGTTTCACTTTCGTCACTGTCGGGGCAGGCTATAAAGGCTTTTCCTGCCCGGCTACTAGCCACCTGCACACATGTGGAAAATATTTTAATCCCGCTTCATCGGCAAAAAAAGACAACAAAAAAAACAAACTGAGAGGAACCTTAAATTAAGAGGCACACAAGGTGCTTCTGACATAAAAGTGTTGGCTAATAGAGTAAGCTGTGGATAGCAAGATGTATAGCAGCTTCATATCATTTTAAAACCAACATATCATTGGTTAAAATAAGTCATTTATTGTCTGGAAAGAATGAGGTGGTGATTTTTATTGGCATTAACAATCCAGGATGTTTAAGAGAGTACACTCCTTTAGCAAGGCTAACCTTAGCTAACGCTAATCTTTCTAGATGCTAAGGAGGACCAGTTTTCTACTCATTTGAACTTAGATTCAATTTAGTAAATGTAGAATATTTACAGTAACTGCTATTGTACAGACAGCATCACCTTCTAATATAAATAACGATCATTCAGAGTAGGAAGGCTAGGAAAAGATGTTAAATGCTATCCTTAGATCTTCTTTAGGATCAGAAAACTGATTGGTGAATCTAAAATATACCAACAATGTGATAGAGTGAAACAAGAACTGGAGAATAAATTGATAACAATATATATCACGATAGACACATAATCAATATCAGTAGATAACACCTGTGATAACCAATTTCACTTAAATCCAAAACAGAACCGCAGAGCATTTGTAGCTCGTTCATTAGCCGCTTGATCTCTCATGGCTAGCTAAAAAAGGCTGATGGCATCGACTAACTCGTTCTCTCTTTGGTTACCTAGCAACAACCTGCAGCGTAACTTGAGCAACACCGAGCCTGCACAGCTTAAAAATAAAAAAAAATTTTGGGATAAAACAGGAAAGGTCATCTCTGTAGATTGGCCGTATTCAGATATTTAAAACAAAAAATTAATCAATAATTATTTATATCAACCAGTATGAGAAGTTTATAATATGATATGTTGTTTTGCCATATTGTCCAGCCCTAAGTGAAGCATAAAAACACAAGTCAGGAGCTCTCACCTGTAACACTTCGTAGATTGCTTTCTTGTACATGGGCTGTTTGTTGTAAGTTGGTTGGTGAAAGGCATTATTAAATGAACTTAAAGGCAGAAGTTTCTCTACACATACCTGTAAAAATACACACAAAAAAATAAACGTTTTGAAGCTGCAAGTCTACAAATTATCTGGATATTAGATTTCAATAGAGCAACCAGATGCACGAATAAATACCCGAAAAAAAAAAACAACCCTTGTGGTTATCAATAAAACTGAAGACTGTGTTTTGCTTGAAAAATCCAAAAGAAAAATCACCTGACAAGAATATTACCGTTGGCCCCGAACACTCACCACTGAGAATTTTCCGTCTCCAAACCACATGACCCATCTGGTTCCCTCGGCGGCTCTGCTCCGGCCCGTCATACACCAGGACACGATGCGGCCCGGCCACCAAGAAAAACCTCGCAGCTTCCCCCAAACCAGCTCGCCGATGCCAAAACCACGGCCGTCCTGCAGCCAGGAGACGACACAAATCATCCACTCCGTATTAACTTCTGAGCAAAGTTCCAAACAGCTTATTTTCTACTTTAGGGGAGGGGGGGGAATATCTGTTGCATAAAAAAGAAAGATAAACAATCTTAACCAAAATACCCAAGAACACAGAAAAACTATGCACTTTGAGAGCTGGTTATCCAGAACACTCCAACACAAGTCTTAAGGCTGTGCATAGTTTAGATTTTATACATTGTAGATGTGAAGCATTGTGAGAGGAATGCGACTGGTTAAACCCTCTGTGGTGCGTAAACACAGGTGTCACACACACGCAGGTGGGTTTAGTGTTTGTAAATGTGCTCAGAAATCATTTAGACCGGAGCTAAACTCAAAGTATTTTAAAGACACGTCACAGCTTGTTAAGGAAGGTTTTGTATTTTGTGCCTCCATTCATCCCGACGAATCGGGTTACTGGAGCCGAGTTTGTTTAGGGCCCAAAGACCAAAAGAACCGTGGTAACGTGACTGCTCAACCCAATCTCTTTTAGAAATACCACATTATATGTTTCCACTACATGCATATTTTGTACATGCTTTAAAACTTTTATGCTCAGACTTATTTTCACCTTT